AGAGGCCCACAGGATGGCCTCCGACGCGGCCAAACGGCGCAAGAACGACCCAAGACGGCTCAAGACGCCCCCAAAAGGCCCCAGAAGGCTCCGCCAAGAGGCTCCGGAGAAGCTCACAAGAGGCCCCAAGAAGCTCCCAAGAGGCCTCCAAGATGCCCCAAAGAGGCTCCCACCAGGCCCCGCAATCACTGGACTGCACGTGCTCCAGAAATGCACCCGCACCCCGCGAAGCGAGAGGAATCCACGTCCAGATGTGACGTGCTGCGCGGCAGCGTTCTTCGTCGAACGCCTTAATGCAACGTATCCGACGTATCATATTTCTACATATTGTATCGCTTTACATTCGTATGTCCCCCCGTTACCCCCCATCCCCTAGAGTCGCGCCACATCCGTCGACCAAAAATGGTGAGCAAAAGCGTACAACAAAGAAACTATGGAAAATTAATGGTTTGGGCCTCTCTTTTTTCCTCCGGATTACTTACACACAATCAAATATCTACTATCACAATGCTAACTGCGTTCTCATGGACCATAACTGCCCATCTCTCCCACGCGAGCACTGCACTTGCCAAGAACTAGTAATCGAACAGATTTCTGAAAAAGCCGTATACACAATAGTGCCACGAAAAATAACATGACGAACGACGGGGCATCCTACATTGCCCAGTGGGGCACTAGAGCCAAAATGGCTACGGACAATGGTTTGGGCCTCTTGGGCCTCCTGGGGTCGAAGAGGGCCTGAAGACGGCCCAAGATGGCCTCCGGACGGCCCCAAAACGGCCCAAGATGGCCCCACGAGGGCCCAAGATGCCCCCAAGACGCTCCAAGGGGGCCACCAAGAGCTGCTCCAGAGGCCAACAACACGGATTGTCCAATAGGTTTTGCAATATGTTAGCATTCTCGTTTTTGTCGACACCTCACGGGGGCCCATGACAGTCCAAGCAGCTGCCAACATGGCCCCAAGACGGCCCCAGAGGTCCCCAAAACGGTTCTAGAGGGCCCCAAGATGCCACGAAGAGTCCCCCAAGACGGCTCAAACGGCCCCCAAAACGGCCCAAGAGGATCCCCAGAGAGCCACAAGGCGGCCCCGAGAGTCCCCAAAGACGGCCTCCGAACGGGCCAGACGGCGCAACAGCACCACAAGACGGCGCAAGAGCCGCCTACAGGCCCCCAGAGGCTCCAAAGAGGCCCCAAGAAGCCCCGAGGGCATCCCAGAAGCTTCCAAGAGGCCCCGAGGAAGCTGCCAAACGGCCCTGAGAACCACCAAGACACCCGCAGAATGTTACATGAACGGCGCGTTGTTGCTATCTTCATCGGGGTGTGCCTTGTGCCAACACGCGGTGAACGCCCATCGCCCTCGTGGACATTCGCACGATCGCCCTAGCGTTAGGTCGGGCCTGTCCCCCTACAGGGGGATTTTGGGCGAAAAAAAACAAAAACCCCCAAAAATACTATTACAAAATGCTCCAAAATACTCAAACAATATAGTCACCAGACTTTTGTTTGACTATTTTCGTATATTCCTCCTGTAGGGGGACAGGCCCGACTAAACCCCAGCGCTGAAACGGGGGGGGCGCGCATCCGCCCCCAGTGGCGCTGTCAGCGCCCTGGGGCAGGCAGAACGGCACGGCAGAACTCAGCGGCAGACGAGCAGGGCAACCCACTCAACGCCCAGTCACTACGTGCTCCAAACGTGCGCCCCATGAAACGAGGAGAATCCACGTCCGAAGTGACGTGTTGCCGGAGGCAGGTCCGTCCGAGGATGCTGTAACGCACGTAACCAGTGTATTCCATGGTTGCATCATGTCCATCTACATGTTGGTACGTATTGTATTACGCCACTTTATTGCGTGCCCACCTACACCCTCCCCTGCCGAGGTCACGCCACTTCCGCCGACCAGGATGCGCCCCCCCCCCCCCCTTGTGGGGGGGGGTAAAAACTGGCCAAAACCGATGGGCAATCGATGATATCGGCCTCTCTGGCCCATTGGGGATCCAAAAAGGCTTTCAGACGGCTCAAGATGGCCGCCATACGGCCCAAGATGGCCCCAAATGCCCTAAGAGGTCTCAAGAGGCCCTCAAAGGGCCCCAACAGGCTGCCAGGGGCCCCCCAAGAGCAAAAACATTGTTGTTCCGTTGGTTTGTCTGGGATTTCAGCGTTCTCGCCTTTTTCTACTCTCGGAGGCCCATGACGTCCCAAGGAGCCTCCGACATGGCCCCAAAACGGCCCCACAGCCCCCGAGAGGACCCCAAGACGGCGCAAGAGAGCCCCAAGACGGCCCAAAGAGGCCCCCAAGACAGTCCAGGAGGCCCCCGAGACGGCCCAAGAGGACCCCAAAAGTCCGAAGGCGGCCGCGAGAGGCCCACAGAGCGTCAGACGGCCCCAAGAGCGGCCCCAGAGCGCCCCAAGAGGGCCCCAAGAGACATGTTGATGGCCACCAGGGAGGGAGGGCAATTTAGGACCCCCCCCTTCCTCCGATCGACAGCCTCAAGGGTGGGGTAAAGGCCCTCCGGGGCTCCGAAAATGGCACCGAGAGGGCACCAAGAGGGCTCCAAAAGGGCGCCAAGACGGCCCCAAAATCAACTGGGAGCATCCCGCGAGGGACCCAAGAGGCGGTTTGCCTCCTCGTCCTCCTCCTCCTTCTCCTCAGCCTCCCCTCGCCACTCCCCTGGTCCCACGGATGGCCCGAAGAGGCCCTCCAAGGCCCCCACCCCCCTTTCCTCCCAGATATCTCTCCGTTCATCCTGGCAGCTGGCTTTGTTTCACTGTATTCGGGGATTGACAGACCCCCCTTTAGTAAAACGTGGTTTAGTGAAAACGACCTGAGGCCCAAACCTGGCGGGCGAAAGCCTGGAAACTGACGGCCACGGCGCCCTCTCGAGAACCGAAAACGGACAATTCACTAATCGACGTGTCACTATTGGGGGTTCTGTCCAGCCCCGATTCACTATATGTGTCTCGCCGTCCCTTGTCCCGTCAGCTTTCACGGGCAAGGTTTCTGAACGGGCTGGTGGGACAGTTGAGCAGCGACCGACCGTCCGGCATTCCTACAGTCCTACCACTAAAGGCTCTTAGAACCCCAAAGGTTCTAATAACAAAAACAACGTTCTTACAACACAAGCCCGACGTGACAAAACAAGACAGACTCCGCCAGAAATGCTCCAAGAGCCTTTCGTGAAAACCACAAGAGGTTCTTAGAACACTGTCTGGTAGGGCTATAGGCGAGCCAGGATGCTTCGCCGCTGCTTTGAGGCACGCTTGGGAGTCCCGAAACGGTGCGGTGACGGACCGTGCGGTGACCTCGAAATCCCCCAAGACCTCACCGCACGGTCCGTCACCGCACGGTTTTGGGACCTCGGAGGCCCCTGTCGCCCGAGACGTCCTCGGAGGACGACCCGAGTCCCAAAACCGTGCGGTGACCCCGAATCCCCATCGACTCACCGCACGGTGTGGTCACCGCACCGTTTGGGGGCCCCGCGGAGCATGACGAATGCGCACCTCCGGAGCCAGACCCCCTCGGAAATGTTGACGTGTTCGCGCTGCCGAGGCCAGAACTCTCCGTAGCTTATGCCAAAGTCGAGCTCTCGAGATCAGACTCCTGTTAAATCGGGCGTGTCCCCCTACAGGGGGATGTTCGGTGAAGAATAGAACATACCCCCAACAATACCCCCAAAAAGACCAACAAATACTCAAAAAATAGTCCCCGGAGTATTTTTGGATGATTTTTGGGGTATCTTTTATTTTTCGTCGAAAATCCCCCTGTAGGGGGAGAGGCCCGACTTTAATCAGACTCCTGTTGTAAATCATGCCGCTTTCGTGCACCCGAGGCCGTATTCTTCTCTCGTTGACGAAACCAACTTCGTGCCTTGAGAAGGAAACAAAGCATTCAATCACAGCTCCAACATCCCAGGATGAATGCCACTCGCCCTCGCATGATGTTCCCAGAAGTGTGCAGAAGCAGCGTCGACACTTCCGAGCACAGCTCTGACGTCTCCCATTCCAACATATGTGGGGTCGGCCGAAGAGGGCGAAGCCCTTACGAAGTACCCTGGTGGAGGACGGCTCCTTTGACAAAAACTGCAGCTGCCCCTTGAGCCTGCTGCCAATCGTATGCGATTGCACGGGCGGATGACGGGTCCTTGTCAGAACGGGGCTCGCTGGATACGAACGTAAACTTTCTCACCGTGCAGCTCTGCTGTCATCTTGGCTCGATGAATGGAGGGCGGACGTGATCCTTTACACAACGGGATCTCGTCCGAGTGGCAGACCCATCAGGCGCTCGTCGTCCATGAGGGGGGGCGCACCTCCCGCAGTGACCAGGAAGCTTGGCAGGGACTGACAAGGGAGGGCCTGAGGACGGCAGGGGACATTGCAACATTTTTGACACATCCGGGGTTTGCTCTGGTCCTCCTGCTCCTCCTTGCTCCTGCACCTCCTCCGCCTCCTCCTCGTCCTTAATGGAGAAATCAAGATTGACTCAACCATCTTCTCCTTTGTCCGCTTCCTCCTCCTCCTCCTCCTCCGCCTCTTTCCCCCCCGCTCCTCCTTGACCCCGGCCCTGATCCTCGCCATCGCTCGGACGTCCACTCCCTGTGCATTTTTTTGGCTTCGTGCGCGCCTCTTTTTCGCAAGATGGCCCGAGAATCGGGAGCGGCCAAGAGGAGGGGGTGTCCAAGAGGGGGGGTGCAAATCATGACCAGCGGAATGTGCGCGGCCCAGCGGGGGGGCGAGGGACGTAATGAAATGAGAAGAGGCGCCATGAAATCTGGGGAAATATCATGGCCCCCGCCCTGATATCCACCCCCCCTAGTCATCACCCCCCTCTTTGCCGCCCCCGAAAGATGGCCCGAGAAAGGCATCTCGATGGTCCCTGCCGGGCAACAAAACACGTCGGAGCGATGCCAAAGATCTGGTCACTCCGAGCTCTCCAGAGCGACCGGGCCGCCAGGTCTGTTAACCCCCGCGCTCGCCCAGACGCCCCGCGGGCAGGGAGGTGGGCCTCTCCGTCGGCCTGGCTCGCGCGGGCTTTGATGGGGTCACCGCCTGGCGTGGGAACTGCACACGGACACGCACGCACGCACGCACGCACAACTACACACAAACACGCACACACACACACACACACACACGCACACACACACACACACACACGCACGCACACACACACACACACACACACACACACACACACACACACACACACACACACACACGCACGCACGCACGCATGCACGCACGCACACATACACAAACGCGCACACACACACGCGCACAAACACAAACACAAACACAAACACACACAGACACGCACGCACGTACGCACGCACGCACGCAGCATTCATGCATGCATGCATGCACGCACGCATACACACATACGCACGCACGCACGTACGCACGCACACACACTCACACTCACACACACACACACACGCACACACACGCACACACACACGCACACACACACGCACACACACACACACACACGCACGCGCACGCACGCGCACGCACGCAAGCGCACGCGCACGCGCACGCGCACGCGCACGCGCACGCGCACGCGGACGCACGCACGCACGCACGCACGCAAACATACACACACACACGCACACGCACACGCACACGCACACGCACACGCACACGCACGCAACGCACGAACACGCGCACACACAACCATACACACGCACACCACACGCGCACACATAACCATACGCACACGCACACGCGCATACACACAACCACACACAAACAAACACACACACACACACAAGCACGCATACACACGCATGCGCACGCACGCCTGCACACATAGATTTTTCGGTCGTAGCGGCGCGGCGACTCGCCAACGCGTCGGGCACCCCTCGCGCGGCGCGCAGTGTCGGGGAGAAGAAAAGAGACAGGAGGCGACCAGCCCCTCACGGTGCAGTGGCCGGGGGCGGCAGGGCAGACAGCGGGCAGCGGCAGCAGGGGCGGCGGGGCAGCGGGCGGGCGGGGGCGGGAGGCGGCGCAGCGGGGCGGGGCACCAGCAAGGCGGCGCAGCGCCAAGGAGGCGGGCTTAAGAGGCCTGCGCGCGGCAGCGCAACCGCGGCAACCCCAAACGTAGCCAAGCGAGGACAGAAAGCCAGTGGCGGCCGGCCAGAGCCAGAGAAACCGCAGCACCCTGGAGAGACCAGCGACCAGCGGACTGGGGAGAAACGGGGCAGGGCAGGGCGGAGCGAGGAGAGGCCCGGACGGCGAGGCCCGATCGGCAAACCGGGAGCGGCGGCCAAGGGGCCAGCAAACCGCGGCGTGCCGCGTGGAAAAGAGGCCGACAGGCCAGGCGAGGCGCGGACGCCGAGAGCGCGGACACCGCCCAAGGAGAGCACCGGGCCGCGGGGACCAAGTGTGCCCCCAAGACGAACCACCCAAGGCAGCGATCGACACCGAGCGCCCAACGGATCGTGCAGTAGTAATTACACGCGCACACACACACGGACACGCACACGCACACACACACACACACACGCACACGCACACGCACACGCACACGCACACACACACACACACGCACACGCACACGCACACGCACACGCACACGCACACGCACACGCACTCGCACACGCACACGCACGCACGCACGCGCGCGCGCACGCACGAGCGCGCGCGCACGCACGCACGCACGTACGCACGCACGCACGCACGCACGCACGCACACACACACACACACACACGCACACACACACACACACATTTGGCGGTCGCGTCCTCGCGCGAAGCGACGAGGCGAAAACAGTCAAGCACAGCGAACGGGACCCCGCGCGTGCTGGCCTCAGAGCAAGGCCGCACCATCTGCCATCGGGGCGTGGGTGGCGGGGAGAACGTGACCACATACGCACACACGCACACACACACACACTTCCTGTTGGGCGACCGCGGCCTCGCGCGCAGCGACGAGACGGAGAAAATGTGCACACACACACACACATATATACACACACACACATTCTTTTGGGCGTCGCGGCCACGCGCGCGTTGGCGCGGCGTTGGGCCAGTCATGTGGGCGCGCGCGGGCCGGGCCAACTCACGCAGCGCGGAGGAGCTGAGTCCGCCCGTAGGGAATCGACAGAAACCCTCGCGAGGGCCATCGCGAGGGGAGTGGGAAGAAGGGACGGGGGGGGAACGATGGGGAAATGAGGACAGGGAGAAGCAGTGCGACAGAGACGAGCCGAGGCAGCCAGCGAGGCGCAGCAGGAGGGCGGCAAGGGCAGCCCACCAGGAAGGGGAGTCAAGGCAGCGTGCAACACACACGCACACACGCACGCACGCACACGCACAGCCTGGCGTGGGAGCTGCGCACGCACACGCACGCACGCACGCACAACTACACACAAACACGCACACACACACACACACACACACACACACACACACACACACACACACACGCACACACACACACACACACACGCACGCGCGCACGCACGCACGCACGCACGCACGCACGCACGCACGCACGCACGCACGCACGCACGCACATACACAAAGACACGCGCACACACGGCACATTTCGCACGCACACGCATGTGCCAAGCGCGCCGCGGCCTCGAGCGCCCTTCGACCCTCGGGGGAGGGAGGACGCCAAGGATGATAGGTCCTAAGCGGAGGATCTCGATCTGGTAGAAGGGTTCGCCTTCAGAGCGGGGACGCCACGGCATGGCCATCTCCATTGCAGCCTCCTGCACCCTGAAGGGTAGGAGGATCTTGATTTTGAAGGGACCCAGGGACACACAACAATAAATACACACAAATCCCCGGATTCCTAAGATTGTCTCATATTTCCTTGATTGTCGTTCTTCCCCCTTCCATAGCTTCCCGTATTTCCTGGGGATCGACGATCATTTGTGTTTGTATGTTTGTGTTTCCCCTTCTGAGATTTGATGGAATGGTGGGAAGGAGCGGCGTAGCTCGAGGGGAGTCGCGGCGCCCTGACATAGGGCGACGAAATCTATACATATCCACTGCTCCCAGGCCAGGCCCATCCTCAACCCCGCAGCGGTGTATACGCCACGCCCTCCTGGCTTGGCCAGGAGGGCGCATACACAGCTCCTGGGTTCAAGATGGGCATGGTCAGGGAGCAGTGGATATGTATAGATTTCGTCGCCCGACTGACATCTCCAGTGCACTCATGGCTCACGTGGCCGAGGGGTATGACTGCAGTCAGACCTAGGCCAGACGAACATCCTCCAGGAACATGGGACCCTCCGCCGGCCAAGGTACGGTGGGTTCGTGCGGCGTCGGCGCGCGCAAAGGTTTTTGACACTGTGTCGATCGTCTAACCTTGAATCGATCGCGACCCTGATCGTTCAAGGTTGAATTCCGTCGGGTCCAATGGCGTTGACGTGTACATCGGTGCTTCCGCGTCGTAGAATTCAACCTTGAACGTCTTCGCTGGCGTCGCCTGCGCGCCAACGCCGCACGAACCTACCGTACACAGAACATGCAAGGGTACCCTCCCCCGGATGCACAAGACACATCCAACAACCACGAACAGCAATGGGGTACCCTCCCCGAATCGACCTCGATCTTATACCTCGGGATATGACAAGAGATATGGCTAAGGTCATGTCGTTCCCCTTGTACTTACCAGACGTAATTTCGAGCACCCGAAAAACTATCGAATGTCTGCCCGACACGCTGGCGAAATGCCGAACAAGTGTCGCCTCCCAGGGCCCGACACGTGAAAGTCCTTCGGTTTGGGCGCTTTCCTGGTGCTCAGAACTCGTTCTGGCGGTCAAGGCTCAAGCACGTCAGAACATCATGAGGCTAGGGCGGCATCGGCGGGGTGTGTCGTTCTTGGAGCGTCCCCTGGCTTCACCAGTTCGGTGCCGCACCCCCCCCCCCGCCCCTGCACCGTCCCGGTCCCTCTCTTCTCTCATCTCCTCGCCCCCCTCTCCTCACGTCCGTGCTGCCCGTCCCCTTTTCGCCTCTGGTCCCCTCCCCTCCTCTCCCATCTCCTCACCTCCCTCTCTTCTCCCATCTCCTCGCGCCCATCTCCTCACGTTCGTGCTGTCTGCACCCTGTTCGCCTCTGGTCCCCTTCCTTCCTCTCTGGCCCTTCGGTGCTGCAGTGGTCGCGATGTGACGCGGCGTGGCATGCCATGGCAGCACTCTGCCACATTACAACTACGACACCCACACACACACACACTCGCTGCTGCTTCGATTTTGTTGCGTCACGCAAGACCGATATGAACCAGCGCCCTGCCAATGTTGCATAAGTACCCAAGACGTGCAAACGCAACGATTGGAACCTGATTTTCTATAGCGACGCACAGGCACATGTCCCGCCTTCGTACTGCCATTCTAAGCCATGGCTACATAGAGCCAGGATGGCAATGGCACAGACAGAGCAGAAATGGAGAATAAGAGAAGAGATATAACTAGAGAGAGAGAGAGAGAGAAAACTACAGAAAAAAAGAGAAAGAGGCAGAGAGAGAGAGAGACACAACATAATGCAAATATGAACACACACACACACACGACAACAAACCGACCACCATCCCAAAACACACAGGGGGGAGAGAGAGAGAGAAAGAAAGAAACATAGCAAGAAAGAAAGAACGAGAGAGAGAGAGAGAGATCGACAGGGAAGAGGAAGAGAGAGAGAGAGATGACCACCAACAAACAAACCAGCACGCACACACACAACACAACAAACACACGCGCAAACAGGGGGTGAAAGAGAGATAGTTAAGAGAGAGAGAGAGAGAGAGGGAGATGCCCTCGACCAGCGTGAGGAACAACGAAGAGTGCGTTGAGGACCCTGACATGCGACGCCTTGCTGACGGGGCCCTGGGACACACACACACACACACAAATACACACACATACCAGGCTTCCCCATAGTTTCGCATATTTTCTGGGTGTTTGTCTCCCCCCCCCCACTTCCCATCGTTTCCCATATTTTCTGGGGAATCGACGGTTACTTGTGTCTGTGTGTTTTTTCCTCCTGACTTGCGTGTTTCAAAACGCGGTCCCTGGAAGTCCCGACCCTTTCCCCAAGGCACGTTT